GTTATGTATTAAACCCTCCTTGTATTATTTACAGTGATGGAGAACAGAGACAGTGGTGTCGCTGACGTGGAAATTGATCATCAGCAGTGCATGGATCATGTTCATATGCATGGGTAAGATACATTTTATGTATAATATAGTCTTTGGTTTACATATGAACTTGTTAAATTTTATGACCCCATGTAGGGGTAATATTAGACGTAGCTTTTCATATAAATGACAATAAAATATGATAAATAATACAAAACAAATATAAACTCCTTTGAGTCCTATTGTTATTTGTTTTCTAACAACTTTCTAATTTGTAACCAAATAATTGTTGTTTTCTGGTAGTAATTAGTCTAGCTGTTAACAAATTAAAATATTCAATGAGAAACAAGGATATTAATAGCAATCTTTCTCCCACAGCGTGGTGGTCCCCCCTCCCCCCTCGTGCCCGGCCCCCGCGGCCCCGCTCCGCGCCCAGAACCCGCCCCCCACCACCATCATCAAGCGGAACGTGCTCAGCAACTCACTAGTTGATATTAATGATCCCGGTAAGTTATTAAATGTTATTATTATTATTTAGATCAATGATTTCCAAAGTTATCTGGAATACGACCTATCTAAATCAAGTTCGCACACTGGACCCGCATTTAGAAGATTAAACCGTTCCCAAAATAAAAAACAAAATACAGACCAGTTGGTTAGTGCATCATTGTACAGACAAGGTCCACTAAAAATTCATTCACGCCCCGTAGTTTGGGACCCTGAACTAAATAATTATTTACTTTGCAAAAAGATGAAGAGTATGTTAAATTGAATTAGTTCCAGAACTCTTTCGAATAAAACATAAGTTTATTGAGGATGGTTAGTAGGCTACGTTAGGAGCCGAGCAGTGGATGAAACGATGCAGAAGTAGTTAATTTTATTTATACAAGAATAGTTTATCAATCCAAATTAAACCAATATTAGTTTGTATTAGAGTTATTTGCTTTAAGTGAGTTCAACAATTCCTTGAAGATTTAATATGTTTTATACATTTGTCTGTGTTTCGGACAAAATTATTAATTATTATCACCATCTCCACCCTAGTGGCATTAGCAGCCGAGCGTCTCCAGCGGCGCGGCTCCGTGGGGTCCCTGGACAGCGGGATGTCCGTCTCCTTCCAACAGGGGAGCAGGACGGCACTGCACGCTACGTCTCCTAGACATCCCAATGAACAACGATCTCCGGGTATGTTAAATACTATAATGATACATAAAAAAACATCGATTTGTTACTTATTTCTGTAACTAACTGCCTCGATGGCTTAGTGGTCGCAAGTGCGACTGCCGGGCAGGGGGTCGCGGGTTCGATACCCGGGTCGGGCGAAGTATTACGGAGATTTAAAAAAAATATCAGTGGTAATTCGGAGACTGGGAATGTGCCCGGTATATGACAATAGGCTAACCCCCTATTGCATAGGACTCATAACATAAATAGTGAAAAGTGGATGTTACATTGTACAGTGGCATTAAGTGCTGTAATGTGCACCTCTGCCTACCTCTTCGGAGATAAAAGGCGTAATGTTATGTTTTATGTTTCTGTATCTGTTGTTTACAGCCTATATGTTAATAGTTTCAGTATCAGGTTAAACAAAATAAAATTAAAATTCAAAATAGTATCAAATAAGGTAAGTAATAAGGTGTAGCTCTGCTTGCTCTTCTCAGTCAGTGAATCACCTGATATTATCATATTAGATAAGACAGTGAATCAATGGGATAATAACACCTAACTAACTATTTAGTTATTAACTTGATATCTATTTCGGCGGGCATAATAGTTGGTTTCAAATTCTAATTATATTTTCTCATTTTCCAGGTCGTCTGTTTGGAGGCATTAGCGGCATCAGTGGCATATTCCCAGGACGTATACGTAAATTAAGCGCTTCCGGAATTCCGGACAACAAGCACGGACATGTCGGCAAGAGCACCGAAGTGTAAACATCACAACGCAAACGGTATACATCGTTATATTTTGAATTTGAACTCCCAACGAATTCTCGATCCTGATTGGTCGAATTCATTAGCCGATGGTTCACGAACGCATTCGGGAACTTTCGATTTTTTCTTTGAGTAAAAAGGTTTGCTCTTAAAGGTGATTGTCGTATTAAATGTAATAGTTTCATTATTTAAATGGTCGGGTACCTCATTTTCTAAGTGCCATTCTTTTATTTCATCGCACTCGATTGTAATCTTCAAGCTGATTTGATTTTTAAGGTGATTAATATTATAATGATATTCACAAATGATATTATGCACGTAGAAGGGTTATTTTCCCTTGTTAAGTCGTAATTATAGGTCGTCTTCGGAAACTATGATGTCATACTAGATTCCTTGAAGACCAGCATAAGCGTAAAGTCCTTTGTGAATATTTCAAATTCGCATCGATACCTCGATAAGGTATACGGATACAATTTTTACTCTAGTAAAAATATCTATCAATTACTCAAATATTCAGTCATGTGTAGCCTTAAAGCCACACTTGACATTGTAAACTACAACTTACAAGTCATAAAATTGACTTCCTTCTGTAGCCGCGACGGTTAAAAGTTACATTTCAGCTACATGTGACTTTAGCTACGTTAGAGTTCGGCTACACTTAACACTTTTTGTATCTGTGGTTCTAACCAGGGTAGGTTACTGTTGATAGGCATTTGGGGTGGTTTTGGATAATTTGTATTTTATATACAAACGTGCCAACTGAGTATGGTACTCGAATTTATTAATATAACAATGATACAATTGACTATGATACGTACACGAAATGACGTTACAACTATGACTTGAAGAAATACTTTAATGGCTACTAATATTTGTTTCTCGTAGCCCGAAATACAGTAAAATGTAGTATATTTCTCTTCAATAAAAAGTAGTTATTCAAAAAGATATATAGACAAGATGACGTTTATTTTCATAGCGACGTTAGTAGCTGAAAAAAAAAACTTGGACGTAGAAAAAATTAAAAAGAATAAGCCTCATTTTTAATTAAAGAGGTTGTTATAACGAAAAAGTATAGATAATGGGCGTTTCGTATGAATCGAAGATAATATTGGGTCCACGTTTATGAAGGTATATAATTCTTAGATGTTGGAGTGAATCGCTCACTATTCCTGTAGAAAGACTACTAATATACATTCCTAAATAAAACTTCTTTAGTTAAAGTATTTGTTCTGAAATGGCAGACACAATAATAAATTAATAAAATGGCAACATAACAAAACATTTTCAAATCTTGCAACACTTTTATATTCTGGATAATGCACGTCACTATATTGAACCTTCTGTTAAATCATGGTTCTTGTCACAAAGTTATATAACAATTATACATTTTTAACAGTTATATAAAGTACATAATTCCTTTTTTATTGTCATTTTTATCCCAGGAATAGTGTAGTGATTCTAAATCTAGCTAGAGTTATGTGGAATTACTGGACGGTACCGAGTGAAATATAACCGCCGATTACTCAAACACAGTTTCAATTGAAGCGACAAACAGTCTCCAATAAGTAAACTGTAGTCTCAGTATTCGGCGATAAATAAAATTTGAATTAAATATTAAATTGCGTCAAATCAATATTCACTTTTTAGATTCACATTTAAAACATATTTTCCATTGCATGTTACCAACCGAAAAGTATTATAAAGATTACTTTTAATAATATTAAAAAAAAGAAAATTTTATCTTTAGAAAATTCGTAATATTTTCCGTAGAATAATTGTACATACGTTTGGAATAGCGAATGCAATAGAGTTTCTGGAGTACACAAATTATTTCAGCACAGAGAAATACATAGACATCACAGTTTAAAAAAATATTTATTATAATAAAAAAAAAATACGAATTTATTCACTATTGTTGATGAATTTTATTAGATTAGGCGATTTGAGGAATTTTAATATAGGATAGTAACCTTTTGATTCCTGGAGTAGGTAGAGACCTGTCGTCAACATTATGATGTCCATAAACACCTGGAAAGATGAGGGGCCTTTTGGCACCAAGAAACAAATTGTTAGAACATCCACCGGGAACATGACTCAACTTCTTCACTGAGTACTTTTTTTTCAAAACAAGAGTTTTCTATGAATTTTGTACGAAATTGTGGATTGTGTCATCACGTTCTTTTAGCGTCAAACGGCATACTTATCTTTTTTAAAATTTGCTGGAAAGATACTAAAAATTAAAGTGTGATTATTTTTTAATATTTTATTGTATTGAACAGTCGAAATTTTTTTTTGATTAAGGAAAGTACACAATTATATTCCAATGATTTGGAGTCACAGTCCCTCTTCCCTCCCAAATCCGGAGAATGAACTTGTAACTCCACTAGTGTTGCAAGCGTCCATGGATGGCACTGATAGCTTAACACCAGGTGATATGTGCTCGTTTGCCAAAATATCCCATAAGAAACACTATCGCCCTAATACTGAAACAATACTAAATTTTAAGTGGTGCTTGAGTATCGTTCTGTACACTACAAATTGTTTATAAAATATCAGAGATAACACGATATTTAAGTAAAACCTAATATTAAGTTACCTTTTTATGGGATTAGCCGGTAGACGAGCAGACTAAGTATGTTATGGTAAGCAATCAGCGTCGCCTATAGACACCTGGAACACCAGAGGAGTTATAAGTGCGTTACCGCGTAAAAAAAGTGCGTTACCGACCTTTTGGGATTAGGAATTTGAGGATTTTTCGGGGATTCAGGGATTGGGGATAATTGGGCCTCCGGTAACCTCACTCACACGACGAAACACAACGCAAGCGTTGTTTCACGTCGGTCTTCTGTGAGGCCGTGGTATCACTCCGGTCAAGCCGGCCCATTCGTGCCGAAGCATGGCTCTACCTTTCAGTTTTCGGTCGTTTATCAATTCAGTGGGACAAAAGCCCCACATCTATGCAGGTACTAAGAAATATTTAAAGAGAATTATAATAATAATAATAAATTAAAATATCTTCCAAAAATATGTACGATTTTCTGTATTCAACTACACTTGAAGGCTGCTTTTGATTTTTCATTTTATTATTGTGTATATTTAAACTATTGTTACCGATTCGTAATTTTCTTGGATTTTACCGTAAATTTGTATGTAACTATATAGTGATAAGCGTGTATTGGTAAGCCGGCCGATTGAATTGCGTATGCGCATTATTATGTAATTTCTTATAAAAGACGGGCGTTAGAAAAAAATACAGTCAAAATTATCTTTGACTTTGACTCAGAAATTACAATAATTCTTTATTGAAATATAGAAAAGACATTTCGGTATAATATTAAATGAGAATCATTCATAGATTTTTCATAACAGTACATTCTTTCGTCCGTCTAATACACAACTGTGTAAACCTGGAATTATAAACCATACTATGTACATTAGACCTTAACTCAAGGGTGATAGAAATCAAAATACAGTAAACATTAAAATCAAGCAAGAAAGAGACAGAGATATATTAAAATGGTTCTGTCTCTTTTTCGCACTGAACAAAATTGAGTCTACTGTTCTGAATATTATAATCTGCTGTTAATAGACAAAATCTAGGTTTATACAGTTAGTAATTTCCTAGTATCCTAGGCCGGCCAAGTTAAAAATGTTGACTAATCTAAAAATGTAGCTAACTGTTGACTTTGTATCGGTTTATAGGCTTGTTGTTTCTACAATTTGATACGAGGGTAGATAGAGAAATTAAAACGACTTGTTATAGGCGAGGGCTATGGGATAACGGATCTTCTTCCATTGACTTAAAGATCAATTTCACATGTTTAGCACTTTTTCTTAAAAAAATGCCATGTGATTGACTTAAAAAATTGTCCATATATGGTTAAAATTAATATTTTTAATGTCGTCAAAATTACATAATTGATATATCGAAATTATTATCGGCATTGATATTAATTTTAATGCATTATTTAATTCTTAAAATAATCCAGAACTATTCTGTCCATTTCGATTCTGAATCTCTGAATTTCGTTGAATTTTGTGTTCGTTCGTTTAGTATTTTATAGTACAGTCGTACACATGACAATAAAACTATTTTATTTTCTTTAAAAATAATAAAAAATGTTCCTTTTTGTTTCTTAATTTGTTCGATTTTTAAACTTTTCGATTCGAACTGGTTCGATTTTTAATTTTTTTTTAGTGTGTGTACGGCTGTATGCTTAACATGTTCTAAGCTACTTTCCTAGTTCTTAAATAAAAAAAAATAAATGTAATGCATGACAAATTGAAAGGAATTGATGTAAATCGTTACTTCGTTGGATTTTGATCCTAATGTGTATTGTATTAACGATCTTTTTGAATTAAATATAATAATTATCCCATAAAGTTTCGTAAAGAGACTCGAATGTAATGTTTGTGAGCGCATTTCAAGCGAAATGCGCCTTTATTTTGATAGTGTTATGGTATGGTTTTGTGGTGACGTGGTGTATTTCTGAAACTTTCTTATAAGTATTTTTAATTAGTAATATATCTATGAACATTGCTTACAAATTTAAATACTAATGCCATACTTATTTCGAATCAATATAATTATCTATATTTACTTCCATATAATAAGCTGATTTGCCATGCAAATTTCAACATTGTGACCTTACAGGACTCGTGCGCAACTACCATAGCGCTTCTATGTATAATATTTTCAGTCAATATATACATATAAAAGAAATACACCAATCTTTGTATGTGAAAAAAAAAAATATCGAATAGCTTTTGTAGATTCGCTTGGCGCCAAAGATTTTATAAATCCTTGTGTTCAATCTCAATGAACGTTTAAAGAGAAACAATTAATGTATTGTTTTCTAATTACGATAATTTTCGAGTTTTAAGCCTCAATATAAATATATTCTAGAGGGCTGTATAGTTTTATTCATAATTTCTACAATTTATTTCTATGTGTATAATAATAGGTATTATCATCACTACTTTTCGAACGTTATTTTTCAAAATATTTGCTATTAAAAAAATCTTAAACATCACGTCATATTTCTGAATAAAACTATACGAAACATTTCTTAAGTTGTAATAGATTTAAGCGGTTTTCAGTTTTTGTATAAATAAACTTACTAACTTATTTCTATGTATGTATATTGAAGAGTTTTCTAATATATATTCCTTAGTTAGAGTTGTTAAAAACTTAGATTTAAGCAATAACGCGTTCGCGTCTACATGTTGTATCATAAAAAGTTGTTGAAAGTTGCTACAACTAAGTCACATAATAATAGTTTTATTTAATACATAAAACGATGAAAATGTATTTATTTATTAAATATGAATTAACATTCATGAGTATTTTGGTGTTTTATTTTTTATTTTACCCTAGTTTCGCTGTAAAAGATGTAATATATGATTTTATTGAGCATGGAACGTTCTGGGAATGATGGTGGAGTCTAGAAGTTATTGAGAGACACCTATGGTCTGCAGCGGACATCTGCCACAGCAGATATAGTGACAATGATGATGATGGTGCAGTAACAATTTCCTAGATACTAGGAAATTATTTGATTGCGATTATAATAGGGTAGTTTCCTAAATTTTATTTTAATGTCCGTCTGGTAGATTAATTTAAAACTTTAGACACGTATTTTTTCTTTTCTCATAAAATTAAATACTTTCGACGATATATTAATTTGAAGTATCGTGTGACGTCACAGCGTGCCACATTTTGTAGCATGTCATGACGTAACAACCTCCCACTCCTAAAACTAGCGGCATTTTATCAAAGAGAAAATAAAAAAAAATACGTGTCTAATATTTTTTCATTATGTAACTGACGGACTAATTAGATTTTTAATTTTGAGACCCTGGAAACTACTCAATTATAGATTATCTAGGTACTAGATGATCTATAATCTCTATCGATCTAGATGATCGATAAATATCTAGTACCTAGATAATCTACAACACAAGTGGCAGATATACTTAGGTTACAGACGGGTATTTCTTACCCGTACAGGTCTTCTACCTCCCAATATGATAATGGGTTACATCCAATACGAGTATGTGACTGAATATAGGTCAGGGGCATATTTTAAACAACATTAAACAGTACAATTTTCTTATTAACGGCTCATTGAAAAGAAGTGCTTAAATAATTATAGGCGCTATAAGGAATAATGTAACATAACGTCACACTTTTTAATTCCTGGAGGGGTAGGTGAATGTGTCACCTAATTTTCACTAGTGATGTTACGAATACCACGCAACACCTACACCGAGAACAATGTCAGAAAAAGTAAACATATGCAGAACTCCAGAAACAGTGGTGAACCACAGAATCTTGACGATGGGACTATGGGTCGCAGGTAGTCGCAACTGCTGCGCAACGTAAGTACAACGGGTTCGATTACCGCACGGAAAAACAGTGAGATCAATAAATTGTCGATTCAGATCTGGGTGTAATGTGTATATTTATTTGTAAATGCACCCACGATACATAATATCACGGAAAATAACAGTTTCAAATGATTGAGAATTTCAAAAATCAGAATTACGAATCAGTTTGCTCGAATGATTATGCATAAACCCTTAGATATAAATTTTTAAAATAGCTTTTATTAACAAATATTTCTGTTAATATGACGATCAAAAATCAATGTCCCCTATTTTACAACTACGGTATGTGTTAGTTTGTGAAAGCCACATTAGATCTGACAGCGACACAGCTGCACTTGTAGGTGTTCGCCGCCCTAAGCTGTGCTTAGCTCCGGAACGAACCTACGACCCGCGGTATATGTATGTCGGTAACAGTAAACGTCATGACTTTTCTAGGCAGGTTGATGAAAATCTGTGGAGTGGGCATTCGAAATATTAAAAAAAAAACGAAAAAAAAAAATAAAAGAAAAACTATGTCTTGCAAGCTCTCTGTAATGGGTAAAATGTCAGACTTTAATAGCGTTTAATTTTCTTTTAAGTAAGAGGATATAAAAATATAAAAGTTTTTTAAACAAACTTTCAGTAAATTTTAGAAAAACATAATGTAGGCTAAACTTCTAAACTTTGAATTTACTGCAGGATCTCAATATCACATGCAATAATTAACAACATCTATCATGAGTCCTATAATAAATAATTAATTAAATTCAAGTTATATATTGTTAGGGGAACGGAACACGCGTTGTCCGTAAACATATTTTACGTAGCAATGTAACATTTATGTAGATGGCGATGCAATAATAAATTACCTGTTGATAAAGTGTTTGTTTAGACAACATTCTTGTTTCTTTTCTCCTGCTTTAATCACCAAATCATCATGTCTTTAACATTCAATCCTCTAATCACCGAATCACCAACAATCCTAAAATTTCCAACTCCCAAAAAGCCGGTAACGCACTTGTAACACCTCTGGTGTTTCAGGTGTCCATGGGCGACGCCGATTGCTTACCATCAGGTCATCTTTCTGCTCATTTGTTGGTTTATTCCATAAAATATGTTAGTGTGTGTGAAAAGACATAGTGACTTAATTCGACAATCTATTTAAATTTTATTTCATATGTCTAACTAATTATTTGAAAGAAAAAACAATAAAAAGAAAACTCATCTCTAAGGTCTAATGGTTCACAAAAACTCAAGATCGACGCCACCAACATCCCATTTACCATTAACAGAAAATGAAAACCAATCTCTAAAAAAATAAATTCACAATAACACCTCCATACGTTTCTCTATTCTCAACAGCGAAGCATGCCCCCGCCGCTCAGTCCAGTACAAGCAACCACGTGACAATAACCAACTGTCTTCAATAGTCACTCACAGTTGAAATAAATTCAATTAAAATTCATATTCCAATGTGCCTATAAAGAAAGGATTTTAAAATAGAGGTAAGGTAAAAATTTTATTTTTTAATTTTTTTGTATAGAGTAGATAATCTTATATTAAGCAGGTATCCAATGTACCATCCATCCACCTGGTTAATGATCGGCTATATACAAAGAAATATACACACAATGTTATTTTCTGGAATATCTGTACTATTTTGTACAAATTAAAAACTTCCAATAAGCTCTAATAGTACCTAGTAATATTATTATTAACTAAAATAATATTTCTGTATATTTTTTTTAGACTAGCCATATTAATTGGTCTTTTTGGTATACCAATTTTTTTATATATATCTAACATAATTGATAAGGAACCATCCTAATCAAAACTACAAAATTGAATGACAAAATGTTATTTTTAGTAGAAGCCTGCAATATAAAATACGTTTTCACTTTTGTTGACCACATGGTAGAAGATCTTGGTAATGGAATCATGAATCTGGATAATGGAATCTTCATGAGTTAGATGTTGGTATTTTTAGCATGTTTGGTTCTTATAATGGCCAAATAATTTTGATAATTTTACAACATTCATCAAGAAGTTACGTATGTTTTGAACGGGCACAATTAAAGTATTTAGGTTATTTCAATATGGTTCACATAATGCACTAGTATAATGTATTTTATTATTTTTTATTGCTATAATTTTTTTATGCTTAATTGATAATATAAACTTTCATTTTCATATTAATTTGTCTTTTCCACTTTATTGACACTATTTTCACTCACTAAAAATATCAGGATCCGTTACACCAATTTCCAATTTCAATAAAAACTTCACATAAAAATCGCGACGAAATATCAACCGCTATTCGAAACTCATTTCCGAACGCGCTTCCGAGCTCCCGCCAATTTTGCTGTCAAAACTTTTCGGTGCCAAAATGGCGCTCAACGCGACGCGATCTAAACGTTCTGGTTGCAACAAGTCAATGGGAATACAACACAAATTATACTCATTTAGTGGTAATTTAATAAACTTAACTAAATTATAGGCATTTAATTCAATTTAAGTGACTGGCTGACGGTGAGGGGGGGGGTCAACCACCCTAGGAGTATTGTGTTACTCCTACCGCTAACTTATTAATACGATAATATGATTTTCTTTGAATGCCTGCAGTAAATCCCTTTACTGACGTACTCTGATTACTATGCAGTCTTTGGAACTTAACAACGCGATATAATTGCGTCGTAGTTAAGACGTAAAATTGTCTTGTTGGTCAATTCTATTAGATATGTTTGTGATAAAGAATCGGTTTCAAGGGTGGACATAAAATTCTGGAATTGTTGAAATCTGAAACCGAAATTGAACCGCAATTAGTTGAAATAATGAAATAGATTCATACATTCGATCGCCTGATAAAAACGAATCCAAAAGACATTGTCTTGTATACAAGTACTAATTTGCAGGCTTCTACTGTCTGCTTGACCTGTTTCTCATTACACGGAAAATAAATAAACTTGTCTCAGTTTTGTGTGCTAGCGTCATGGACTCGATTGTGGACAAAATAGACATAAAACTTTCGTTGATCGCGAATGTAATTGCCGAGTATAGGGCCTCGGGATAGATTTCCGGGTTAGGCTCAGTATTATTTGTTAATAGTACAAAATACTAGGTAACTATAATTAAATCATTTAATTGTTCCTTCAGGTTTTTTGACTTATATTTTAGATGGAGGAATCATTAGACGGCCGCGAGGGTGGCGCAGGCGCAAGTGGTTTCGACTCGGCGGCCATCTTGAATGATGACGTATCACCCACTACCAGTTTCTGTTATAACATCCCTAATCTTTTCAATAGGTGAGTTATTTATTTAAATTTTAAGGTCGAGCATACATATATTTATTATATTTTTTTATGGGGTAAGCCGGTAAACGAGTAGACGAATCGCCTGATGGTAATCTGCCAAATAGCTATCGGCGTCGCCCTGGAACATCAAAAGGCGTTACAAGCGCGTTACCGACCTTTTGGGAATTAGGAGTTTGAGGATTGTTGGGGATTCAGGGACTGGGGTGATTGGGGTGATAATTGAGCCTCCGATAACCTCACTCACACGACGAAACACAACGCGAGTGTTGCTTCACGTCGGTTTTCTGCTCGGTTCCATGGTATCACTCCGGTCCAGCCGGCACATTCGTGCCGAAGCATGGCTCCCCAACACTTGAATATTTATTCATCGTAGCTTAAGTACACATGATGTGAGAGATTAATAATTAAAAACTTCTTTTTTACGTCTCTTATTTCATGAACTTCATGTAAACGGCAGCGTTTCAAAAAGTCCCTCTCACATTTTGCCCCTAACATTATTGACTAGACACCAATGATATATCTCTATTTACCCTTTAGACAATAACACACGCGATTAAATTATAATGCTCTCTTGTAATAACTTTGAGTATTTATAAAATTCTCCTTGTAACTCATTACATTACCTAGATATAATTCAGTAAAATCTTATGTAATAGCTTCATCACAGAACCTAAATGGAAGTTTAAAATTTGATTTTCATGCAAGTCATTATTCTTTATTTTTATTTTGATTGATGTCTGCCCTTACTCGTTTGATAGTATGTTCTATTTCTCCTTGAAGTTCATACTGCCATGCAGGTATCTTCTTTATGTGTTCTATGGTAGGTACTATAGTTGCTAGTCTATATTTTGAACGTTTTATTTGATACGCCCTTCATTGTATTTGTAAGAAATCAATGTTTTATAGAGTCGTCTGTGATTTTTTACGCATTGCTTAGTAGGTACTATTGGCGTTAGCGTATAATCAAAGGCTCTTGGCACATGAAACTACATTCAGTTCTTACAATTATACAACAATTGGGATGATGACAGGTTATGAAAATTAAAAATCTAATTAGTCCGTAAGTTAGGTAATGAAAAAATATTAGACACGTATTTTTTTATTTTGTCGTATAATAAAACAATACTTAGATAAAACGTTATTTCTACGTATAAAATGTATGTAGAAGTGACGTCACGCGACATTTCAAATCAATATATCGTCGAAAGTATTTTTTCTGTAAGAAAATAAAAAAATACGTGTCTAATGATTTAAAAAAATCTACCAGACGGACATTAAAATAAAAATTAGGTATCTACCCTAATACATCCATGTCTTTTGTCGAGTGGTCGTAAGCACGACTACTGGAGTATTTGGGTTGGACACTGAAAATGTGCCCAGTATATAGAAATAAGCTCCACCGCTTTCTAAATAGGACTCATAACTTCTAAAAATATTACATTTTGTCATTTCAAATTGTTTTTTACGTTTCCAGTCTTGGTCCTGGATCTGTGTTATGTGAACGTCCGGACAATGAACCCAGTGAAACTTACACGCCGAACGTAGAACCAGCAGACGAAAGCACTGAACACCAGCAGTTTGAAGATGATGAGGAGTATTCTCCGAAATCAAGTGAGCAGTTTTTGAATTTGTATTTCGAGTTAAAATATAATAGTGTTTTTGAAATCCGGGGTGTACGGAACGCTACCGAAAAACGCATACAGGTGATGGCCAAAAACAAGTTATATTTTTATACCTCTAAAAGTAAGGAATTAAATGTTTATTTAATCTTATATACCTACCAATATACCTATTACACCTACTGTTGCTCATCTCTGCATCACCCCATGGTTGACTGTTAGAGAATGCCACCCGGCATTAAGTCCGCCATTATATGTTTATTATATATCTTATACTCGTATATAAAGCGGAAGAGTTTGTTTTTTTTGGTTGAACGCGCTAATCTCCGTAACTACAAATTTGATTTGAATAATTATTTTTGTGTTCGCATTTATCGAGGATGGCTATAGGCTATCAAACATCACGCTCCGATCAATAGGAGCTGAGCAGAGCATGTGAAACCGCGCAGAAGTAGCTTGTGTAATAATAGTTGTAATAAACTGCTCAAGGTAGTTGCTTGAATGGCACGAAAACAAAAACAATTAAAATTGTAAAAAGAATTTCTTTACATCAGCGTTTGGGAGCGTTCGATATAGTAAATTTTTTATTGAAGTCCGTTGATAAATAGCAAAGTTTAAAACCTAATATTTTCGTTGCAGATGCCAAAGGAGATATTCCTAAACGAAAACAAAGACGATACAGGTATGATACCTAGTTTAGTAATAAGGAAACGGAGTAAATGATTATGTTTTCGGCTTACTCACGTAATTATTTGACGAGGAACTCATCAGTAGCAGCGCGACAGTCGCCGCGTCGCGGGTCGCGAAATGCTGGTCATGAATATGAGCCTCTAGCATGGCTTGAAACTAGTCGAGTTCCTCGTCAAATTATTACGTGAGTACGCCGAAAACATAATAATTCTCACGAAAGTTATAATACAAAGTAACGAAGTCGCTAGCATATTTTTCTTTTATATTTCATGATAATGGACTGCCTCATTGGCCGAGTGGTCGCAAGTGCGACTGCGGCAAGGGATCTCGGGCTTGATTCCCGGGTCGGGCAAAGTATATCTGGTTTTTTTAAAAACTTCAATAGTAGCGCGGAGTCTGGAAATGTGCCCGGTATATGGCAATAGGCTCACCCCCTATTACATGGGACTCATAACATAAATAGTGAAAAGTGGGTATTACATTGTAACTGTACAAAACTTTTATGCCACTGGGCATTAAGTGCCGTAATGTACATCTCTGCCTACCCCTTACTTTGCTCGACCGGGAAATCGAACCCGAGACCCCTTGCCCCGCAGTCGCACTTGCGACCACTCGGCCAACTAGGCAGTATTTCAAAAATAAAAACCAACCTTAAAAGAATATTTCTAACTTGTGAGAAGAAACAGCAAGACAAATGAACTCCTGTGCCAAGGTTTACATTCTTAATGAGAGAGACAGCAGTTCTGCAGGTTCAGTTCACTACAATATTAATTTAACATTTGGTCCACAGTTGGACTACCGCGGACATCATTTGTTACTATCATTGTTATTGCCATGTTGTGTTAGGAAATGCGTTTATTTTGTGTTTCATGGTGTGTTGAACTGATATTCTGTTCAGCTGTCGAGTTTCGGAGTTCGGATTCGAATCGCAAGTCGGTCATAATACTTACAATTGTTACAAATATACAGATAAGCCCACAACTTCAGATATAGTTCTCGAAGCTGTTTTTATTTAGTAGGCACAGAGTTCAGAACTGGATTCGGTATATTTTATGTAGTATGTGCCTATTTCATAAACCGGATATAGATCTTATGCCAGATTTGAGAAATGAAAACCAAAAAATAGCTCAACACTTTCATCAACTGCCTATAAATGCCCACTGCTGAGCAAAGCCTCTTGCCACATGGAGAAGTTTTGATCAATTATCACCACGCTTGCTCAATGCGGGTTGGCGATTACAAACATATAATTAGAAATTATAAGCCCAGGTTTCCTCACGTTGTTTTCCTTCACCGTTTGTTACTGGTGTCTAGATAATCTTAGAAAGTACATATAACTCGGAAAAGTCACATTGGTACTTGCCGATGGTAGGTTCGAACCCACCCTCATGCATGAGAAGCTGGCGTCTTAAACCTCCGGGCCACCACGACCCCCTATATTAACACTTTGCCTGACCCGAAAATTGCTACCGCTCAACAAACAAACTAAATAAAATCTCGCTTGTCTGGTGGGAATAAGACAGAACATCTTAATTGCACACGCCTTGCACTTTGCAGAGCTTGTAACTGCTCCAACTATCATTTGCATAATCCCTTCTTGTTGCAGAACCACGTTTTCGAACGTGCAGCTCGAGCAGCTTGAGGCAGCTTTCCATAAGACGCACTACCCTGACGTCTTCTTTAGGGAGGAGCTGGCGATGAGGATCGACCTTACTGAAGCTAGAGTTCAGGTAATGTGAGATGGAAAAATATTTATTTACTTAAGGAATTGCGTAACAATTATCATAATTAGCTTATGATAGGTGTGTTTTGAATTTTCTTTACTGAAATATTATTATCTAATATAGGAACCATTCCTACAACATATTCTGTTTGTCAACGGCCGGTGTCCACTGCTGGACTATGGTTTTCTAAATATTTTTTAGCGTAATCTCCGTGCCTGGCAAATCAGTTGGAAATCGTAGATTGAAAAGTACATACATATGCTGCAGTCTCTATATCTCACAGCACCCACGGAAAGAAGAAGAAAAATAGTACTGATAAACATGTTCAACTAGTCAGCCATCACTACATGGCTTAGGTATAATTATATGTAACTACTATGTAACTGGTATTTAAAAACAAAAGAGAAAGATCGATCTGCGCATCTCAATAAATATAGCCTGCGGAGTAATGATCGGATACATTTTTGGAAAGTTTGTAGGACGCAGCCGCTAACTGCAGCCGTCCGGACAATGTCGGCGAAAATAGAAGATTAGGGTTGTATCAGGTCAAACTTATACCTGTTCTTCCTGTCGCTGTTCCGTAAAAATCACTGTTCTTAGTAACCGTTACTAAATAACTGGTATCAAGAACAGATAACATTTTCTTATAAGTAGGACAACGACATAATCATCTATTATTTGAGCTGTAACTGTGATTTGAATTTTATTTGTTAAGTATCTATCTATAGTAAAGTTCTCTAAGATCGGGAAAGAAGGATCGTTCGACCAGGCGAAGTTCTCGTGTCTGGCGGACTACAGTCGAAAAGTTATTCGTTGAAATTTTCTATCCATGTTTATTCGCGCGCATACTTCACTTGCACGATGTAGGATTTTATATCTATCATTCGTCATTTGTTGTTGAAACTGCAATGTGCTTTGCCACAAATGTAATACCTGTTACCTATTTAAACTTATATAACTGTTATCCAGTATTTGTGCAATACCTGCTATTTATACCTGTTATGATAGTAACTACCTCTCGCCTAGAAAATGGCTGACAAAGTTTCATGATATTTATACGAAACTGTGACAAAGTGTCCAAAGTCCGGATTATTTTAGTTTCTATCACTGTTCAATGATAATTGACGTAGCCTAAATGGATAATAAAACTTATTTTGAGGTTGTTCCAATTGTGATTTCTTGAAGAAAGTTTTGTATAAATAACTGTTTCTTTTATGGCATAATCCAGTAAACGAGCAGACAGATCACCTGATGGTAAGCAATCGGCGTCGCCCATGGACACTTGGAACACCAGAGGCGTTACAAGTGCGTTACCGGCCTTTTGGGGATTAAGAGTTTGAGGATCGTTGAGGATTCAGGAATTGCGGAGATTGGGGAAGGGGAGGGTAACCAATTACCCTCCCAGGAGGCCCAAGCCTCCGGTAACCTCACTCACACGACGAAATACAACGCAAGCGTTGCTTCACGTCGGTTTTCTGTGAGGCCGTGGTATCATTCCGGTCGAGCCGGCCCATTCGTGCCGAAGCATGGCTCTCTCACACTTTATTGTTTTTGTCGTTTTATTAACTAAAAATCGCGGGTTACTCACGTGAATATATTGAGAAAAGCTCTACTAGTTTCGAACCACAGACAGTAGGCTGCGCGACATCGCCGCGACCGCGCACGCTGCTTATGAGGAAGGACCCCTCTATGGTTCGAAACTAGCAGAGCTTTTCTCAGTATATTTACGATAGTTATTATAAAACAAACTATTACTTTTGTTTGTTCTTAGGTTTGGTTCCAAAATCGACGAGCGAAGTGGCGGAAACAGCAAAAGGCTGGCTGTGAAGGATACTCTGCTGCCCCGAGAGGGCCAAGATCTCCTGACGAAAGATCACCATCAGCTTTAGCTTTGGAGATGAGGGATTTCATCACCATACCTGGTAAGTTAAAATTAGCAGTGGTGAAGTTTTATCTTATGTATTACGTATGTAAGAATCGTAGCAATTGGCGTTACATAGTATCTGCCCATGGGAGGCAGGCTTGAGGTTATATATGTATGTATGAGGTTTTATCTTGACTTTTGGTCTGAATTACTGGATTACTGGATCAGATCAGATCACTGGATAAAAATCGCGAATCTTGAGAGTACTGTCTAAGGTTTAAGTCATAAAATGTTTGTTAATAGACTTTTGTTCTAGGTACTTGAAAACTAACCAAAATTGTCTGTTAGTTACATATTTTTCATTGCAAAAAAATCTTTTCTTTTTATTATGTATAGAGGTATCAGTGTAGTTAGATACAATGTAAAATGTACTACTACATTGTAACATAAAGCCACTTAACAATAGTTGTCGGTTCTAAAAGGAAAAGTTGGAAACATTGAATAACTATTCAGTTCAGCACTTACCACTGACAGCGACATTATTAACTACGTGTTTGTATTTCATACAGTTTTAACATACAGTAAATGTTTCATATTACCTTGTTTAACTTTTTTTTGTTCATCATCATCAACAACCTATAAATGCCCACTGCTGAGCAAAGCCTCTTCTCACACGCAGAAGGTTTGAGCATTACCACGCGTATCACCACGCTTGTTCAATGCGAGTATGCGATTACAGACTTATAATTAGAAATTATAAGCCTAGGTTTCCACATGATGTTTTCCTTCATCGTTTGTCAGTGGTGTCTAGATAATCTTAGAAAGGACATATAACTCGGACAAAGTCACATTGGTACTTGCCGTTGGTAGGTTTCAAACCGCACTCTCATGCATGAGAAGCGGGGCCTCTTAAACCTTTGGGCCAAGAAAACACATTTTTTTGTTCGCTCATTAATTATATGTATATTTCTTTTACAGTATCATCAACCCAAATGATAAACTTAAATGACACTCAGACACAAGTTTACGCGACCAAATCAAAGCCATCACCACCAGCCATTCACATATCAGCGCTACCAACGAGACAGAACCCTCAAGTCGACCTCCCATCATTTTCCATACCCCTACAATATAACCTAGGAAGCTTCAAGAAAATCGGCGAAGACGTACACCTAGACCTAGAAACATCAGATCAAAACAACTGGGACGCTAGAATGATACCTAATTTCAACCTGATGAATTTAAAACCTTTAATAGAAACGAGAGATAACGTTGACATGGAATTAAAATATGAGGTTAAAAATGAAAATAGAGTGAATTTCAATGAAATACAAACTGTTCAAGCTATTGAGAGTGACGACTTACTTGGTAAAGAGACAGTGAATGAAGGGCAAACAATATCACCAGATTTTGAAATACAAAGGTTTCAAAATTATCAAAATGAAAACGAGAAAAGATTTAGGGAACAGAGCTTCGAAGACTCCATCATGGAAGATGGGAGGAATGATTTCGTTTGCGATGGAGATTTTCTATGCAAGAATAATTTTGAGAAAGTCGTTGAGAAACGCAATGAATTCGAGGAGTGCCATCTTTTAGATAGTGATAATACTGTTGGTATAAGTAATTTTGAAAATGCCCTGTAGGTTCTTGGATAAGTAGACATCAGACCACCACAGAGAGGGCCCAGTAGGGCTGATGCCCGATACCGCGCCGCGGAAGGCCTAACGGGTTGTTGGGGCTTCGGCTCGAAGAACATAAGTAGTAACGGGGTGGTTTTTAGTCAGTAAGCGTCTGACACTCCTTCTCGCCTAACACAAGGCGGGAGAAGTCATTGGATGATTTTCCTCCTTCAGGTTCTTGGATACGTAACTTTATTGTGATCTCATTAAGGTATGTTATTTATTGTAGATAGTAACTAATGTAATATAATCCATAATTAATGTATTTTTAAAGATTATAATATGTGTTTAGCGGATTATGTTGTATATTGTTCTTTTAATCAACAAATAAGAAAAGAAAAACATATTGTTCATCATCGTTTTGAAGACTAAAGTATATATTTAAGAGTAAATTATTTTATGTACAGTCCAAAAGGTTGAATTGTCTTAATCTTAGTTTTATCTTTACACAAATATTATTAAGTTGTGATATTGTTACAATAATGTAAGTACAATTATTATTCTAGTCAACAATAAATACCATTTAAAAGAGACCTTCTTGTTTGACACTGGACCTCTTGCGCCCGAATACTGTTCCAAACATCGTGCCATCTCTGTATGTTAGAAAGAATTTGTAGTAACAGAACTATACTTAAGCTTGAATAGCGTTTGAGTATTTGGCTAATAAGTTACTACATATTTAGAGAATGAATAAAGTACGTACATCAAAATTGATAAAAATTACATCATGAAGTAATTTTGGAAATAAGTTTCATTCAACTTCAATTTGACTGCACGGTTGGCGCTGTGGCTGTGCAACTGGCTGACGCACAACGTTCGAGTTCGATTCCCGCACGGAACAATTCATTGTGTGATCCACAAATTGTTGTTCCGGGTCTGGGTGTCAGGTGTATGTGAATTTGTATGTTTGTAAACGCACCCACGACACAGGAGAAAATCCTAGAGTGGGGCAACGTTTTTTTAAAAACAAAAATAAAATTACAGTTTCAGGGCATTTAAAGTGCAGACAAAATGTACTGGATGGATTTATGTAAGAACAGAGATAGAAATAATTCCAGGAGTAAGAACGGCGTGGTTTTTAGTCAGTAAGAGTCAGTAAGAAAAACCGACTACGGCGAAGTTAAACGGAGGTTTATGATTTTGACCGGTATGTTAGCATGTATACGTATGTATGTATGTATGTAATATGTATGTATGGAAAAACATACACTTACGTATGGAAAAACAAAATAATTAAAAAAAAACTGCTATATAAAGTTTTACAACGTTTAGAAAATAAAACTTCAGTCGAGTTGTAGTGTTCTATAGAGCGCAGGTGTTTGGTATAAAGTTATTCAACTAAAACTATTTAATACTTTTACTTCTAAACGTGAAGTTAGAATGTGGTTTCTTGTATGGGATCGATGTTAACAACATACACGAACAAGTTTGTAGAACTATGCCATTGAAATAATTAAAAACTTAGCGTTTCTTTTCAGAGTTTTCCACTCATATAATTCTTTTCCTAGACGTGCTCTGCCGCAATCCCACGGCATATGGCGATTAACACACGGCACTGCGTACCGCCGCGGCGGGCGGCGACGGTAAAGCGGCTTTCGTAGCGGTGCCCCGTGCGGTAAGGCGGTTTACGCGCCTGTCCGCGGTCATGGATTTACACGACATGGTCATTTTGACTAGTTTGTTCACATTGAATTCTTAATATTCTTAAATTGCAACACGTGTTGCACCCACGATGATGGTGGCGGTGAGAGCACCGCTCGACCGCGCGGTCGAGATGTGTAGGTATATGTGATAGTTATCGAAGGATTTATTAGAGGTCAATGCGACATGGGATCCGCTTCACTGCCTACCGCGGCGGTGCGCGGTGACGTGTCTTAATCGAGTTATGCCGTGTGATTACGGCAGAGCACTTCTAATCTTCCCGCAGATGTCGTAAGAGCCAACGAAGACTCAGATTGTCATTCGACTTAGACCGGTTAACAAAGCTCTCTGATAAACCTGAACCTTTAAAATTATTATTCCCAACCCGCTACCCAAGTACAGAGATTACGGTAGACCTTCCTATGTAGAGGAGGCCCAAGTTTCAATAGAGGACTGTCACGGGCTGTTGGTTTGAAATTATTATTCCACCAATTTAAGGTGGCCCAACGAGCTATGGAGCTGGGCTGTCAAAGTCTCTCTGAAAGATAGAATCCGTAACGAGGTGATCTGACAGATAACGAAAGTTAGCAAGCTGAAAAATGGCAGTGGGCCGGTCACATTTGATGAAGAACCGATGACCGTTTTGGGGTAGACGTGTTCCGAAGTGGAGTCCGCGTCTAAGCAAACGTAGTGTAAGGCGCCCTCCAGCTAGATGGAGTGACGATATCCGCAAAATGGCTGGTAGTGGTTGGATGCGTAGAGCTGAAGATTGAGCTCAGTGGCGTGCTATTGGAGAGGCCTCTGTCCAGCAGTGCACGAGAACAGGCTGTTGTTGATGATAATTAGATAAAAGATCTAAATGAATACCAGATCTTCATATTTTATTCAGCTTGTAGACCAAATTAATTACTAGCCAGAGCAATACAAAATCAACTACAAATTGTCCAGATCACATTTCTGTCGTATTGCCCACGGTAGCAATTTGGCAGCCTGCCAACTGTCTCAGGTTTGACTCTCGATGGTCCGTTGAATGTGATCCTTATGAATTGGTCTTGGATTTAAGAAAACTTTACCTCTATAAGCAGTATTATATATTTTTTTAAGGGGGGAAAATCATCGAATGACTTCTCCCGCCTGCGCATGGACCGGTCATATTTGTCGAAGAACCGATGACCGCGGGGTAGACGTGTTCTGGAGTGGAGACCACGTCTAGGCAAACGTAGTGTAGGGCGTCTTCCAGCTAGGTGGAATAACGGTATCCGCAAAGTGGCTGATAGTGGTTGGATGCGTAGAGCTGAAGAGTTCAGTGGCGTGCCATTGCTGTTGATGATGTTTTAAACGAATTTACAAGACGGACATTGAAATATAATAAAAATTAGTCATCTACCCTATTGTTAGGTATGTGTGCTAAACCTGTTCAATAAATAGTCGTAGTTATACGTATATTTCACTTCCATATGAATACATTCTACTTTCTTAGACGGATTCTTTAGAAACCTGCTAATTACGTTCAATTAGTGGCCACAGGAGTGAATTAACAATTTAAACGTGAACTTTATCTAAATCTCGAGTGCGCGCCGGCCATTATGCTTGATGTAAACACCATTAGTGGCGAGGTGTAAGGTTTGTTACACACATACGACAAGAAAAATAAGATTGTGATGGAAAAATTTACCTTGATTCTTTTTAAATGAAAAATACTGTAGACATACATATCACGCCTTTTATCCCCGGACGAGTAGTCAGAGGTGCACATAACGGCACTTAATATGCCACTGTATAATGTAACACCCATTTTTCACTATTTATGTTATGAGTCCCATGTAATAGAGGGTGAGTCTATTGCCATATACCGGGCACAGTTCCAGACTCCCTGCTACTACTGACAGTTTTTAAAATTCTCTGTAATACTTTGCCCGACCCAGGAAATGAACCCAAGATTCCTTGCCAGGCAGTCGCACTATTGACCAACTCGGCCAACGAGGCAGTGAGGCAGAGAGGAACCTCACTCACACGACGAAATACAACGCAAACGACGTTCCACGTCGGTTGTCACTCCGGCCCATACGTGCCCAAGCATGGCTCACCCATACTTTTTTGTCTTTGATAGCTGAATTTTTGATTGACATGAACTATAAGTTTATCACGTTTCGCCCTTAGACTTACTTACCACTTGCCTGACTGTTATAAAAAATCGATAAGGACTGTAATCGTAATATGTGTAATAGCCTTAAAATTAATCCCGTCAGCTGAAAAAAACTGCTTTAAACACGTTTGCGGCTTACAGTTTGTAGTCACGCTATGAACTGAAATAGTTTTATTTCTTATGAAAGCTGAATACTGAATCGTTTTTTTGAATATTATTTTGTAAAGACTTTTCGTTATTATATTGTGCGCAATAGTAACAATTCCGGAATAAATTTAGTATGTATTTTTTAAATTATATTATGAATTCATTTTGTATTTGTGTTGATTACTGGCTTGTTGTACAAAAATAGATATAATTGCTATTGCTAGGTAAGGCAAAATATTGTTTTTTTTTGGTTCTGTGATTCTCAGTGATAAAACGTAGTTTGGGATTCAGTCAAAGGGTTTTCTTTACCCATTATACAAAATAAAAACTCAATGAATTTCACCCATTATTAATATTTTTAACTTAAATCATTTTTACCTCTCGATATAATTAGTTATTTCTGCTATTAGCAATGTTATGTTACTTAACACATACGTAGAGGTATAATTTTAATTCATGACGTGTTCGTTGCATAAGATCCTATAATAAAATGGCCATGCATCGACTTGTTAAATAGACCTACGAAGTGCTACGCCGTAGCTGACTACGTGACGTCACTGCTACGCCTGCTACACTTACGTAGCACACCCAGCCATCTGTGAAATTGTTGGACATTGATGATCTATTTTGAGAAGTTGGTTTATGAAGTGTTTATCATTATGTAAAATAATATTTTGAGATATCGTATTTACTTAGGGATTCAGCTTAATGGATCTGAGGGCTAATTTTAGGCTACGCAGATTTTACTATTGTAATCTTTATATAGAACTAGCAGCCCGTCCCGGCTTCGCACGGGGTAGACAGTTTTTTATTTGTGGAAATTTGGATTGTTGTAGTGACATAACTACAATAGTTGGACATATGCTACCCTGGAGTTTTTGTAGACATTATGATGTTCTTCAATATTGTTGTACATTATTTTGTTCTATCGCTAATAGTTTCGGCGGCGCATTCGACGAAAGACATTTTAAGACTCATTTTTCTACACCTTCGGTTACATTGTTCAGATTTTACCAAGAATCCCTAATTT